ATTTTCACTCTGTTTGATTTTTTTATGCAGTAAATTGTGATGCGCATGTTCGTAGAAAATAAATGTAAGTAGCTTCAGATGCTTTAAATGAAATCCCCAATGAATACTCTACTCTTACATTCCAGTACTCACCTACTAAATGAATGGAAATATACTCAAAAATGCTATATTCTGAACTTCTATTGGAAATTAAAAAAACTGAGAGGCAACCTGGTGCAACTATCACAACACATTTTGAACAATCTGATCACACATATATGCTCTATAGGCGATATTTGGATGACGTCGTAGTGATCTATGACAAAACGGAGGATATGAATTGTTTATGAAATAAACATAACGCTCAATTAAATTACATCAACCTTTCATGTGAAGAGAAGAACAACTAGTTTCATTTTCTGAATATATGTAGAAACGATGGCTCAACCGAGCTAAACGTTTTCGGAAAGCCAACTTGGACGGGCCATTGTCTAAGTCTTTATAGTTATTACCTAGTACGATGCAAATTGAGATTGATAGACAGCCTATTCAATTGGATTGACCGTATTTGTACAAATGATACTGTTGAAGACGAAGTGAGGCTATTATTAAAACACCAATGGAGAATGGTTATCTTCTAAGATTCACAAGTCGATGGAAAGGTTACAGTATGGTGAGACCTACTATACATCTGGCATCATAAGAGCTTGTCTACATTACTGTATCACTCAGAGGTGAGTCAACACAGGAGTGTGTTGAAACAAAGGCTCAAAGCTGTTGTGAGTAAAACATACGACGCAGTAAAGATCAGTGTCCCTCAAAAAACAGAGTTCGTGGTTTATCAATGGGTTTCAATGGTTGTCTAACCAAGGTCATTTATTGATGCCAACCGAAAATCCCAGTAGTCTCCCATACTTATAAAGCTTATTGCTCGGTATCGTATTGAAATGTCTTAGTTCTATACCTATCAGAATTGATAAACTGTAGTGTGTTACAACTACACATGCCATTTATTCATAATCTCAAGATCTATGGCAGATAATCTGAATTTCTGATTGGAGTTTCGAAGAAATTTCATGTACTATCGATTTTGTGACAAGGGTAAGTAGATTCATTCCTAACAGTGTAAGCACAAGCACAGAATTGAGATTATGAATAGGAAAAAACTCACTGTGCATGTTGCATAACTAATTTATCTTAAACAAAATCTATCACAATACGATATCAGCAAACATAATCTGACCTCTGATTTATAAGTAAGTTTATTTTTACCTATCTAAACTATTATGTAATCAGAAAGGGGTTTTGTGGATATTATAGTAATTTAATGGTTGAGTTCATGAGTCAATTGAAGCTAGACCACCATGGAAAACCTGAAAGTACTGAAGGGCCGTTTCCTCTGAGTGTGGGACTCCTCAGCCATGCGCATCCACGATCCCACACGCAGGACTCCAACCCAAAACCTATAGGTCCCGCGCATGAACACTTAAGCTGTAGACCATTGAGCCAGCATCCAACGGTGTCAATGTGTAACTTCAACCAATCCACGATATTGCTTGACCGTCCATCATTGTCTCCAGTGAGTAACTGCCTTACAACAGACCCTGTTGAACTCCACTGGTCACAACTTCTCACTTGAACTCCAGGAAATACATCTTGAAGCCAGTCACTACTGAGCATATGATGATTATTATCTGATATTATATAATCAGTCATATTTATGCTTAGTTATACTGAATAATTAATACTATTTTCTTTCTTATGACTTTCAATCTGTTGTTTTAACGTTCGATGATAGTCATATATATGTACGAACAAAATCTCAATCAAATGCACTTTATATCAAGTCACATAGATCGGTGACCATATTGAAACTAAATCAATCGAGTCCAATTAGTATCAAAAACTAAGTACACATGACAATTACCACTACCAAAATCAATCTTTGTAAATAACAGTCCTACAGACGATATATTGCTGGCTGAACAGTTCCGTAATAACTTCCCAGACTGCGACACAGGAAGACTAAGGTTCAAATTTCACAGGAAGCATTAATTCCCTTAAGATTATAGGTTAATCATTTTGAAGCGAGATTAGTACAAAAACTAGGTTCATGGTTTCCTAATAAGTACCTCCAACAGCCTACTAGTAAAAATATTATAACACATGTCTCGTTTCCGCTTATATTCAGTTATCGTATAAAATAAAATAATTCCGTGTTTACTTTGCTAAGTTGAATTTATACAGACTTGATATAATAAACACTAATTGAGTAATATAAAGGTGATATTTGATTTACTTGGCTTAGTCAGCAAACATTCAGATAGGTTACTTTTTTAAAAAACTAGTTTGAATGTTATTAATGTTTGGACTTTGATTTTAAATGTTGTTCAATGCAAGGTTCTAACATATAACTTAGTCATATACCTATGTCAAAGATGACAGTCGACATAGGAGTATATGCATTTGTAGATGATCAGAGTGATACAGACTATGAATATACTAGCGATTCCTTTGACTCGATAATTAATTCAGTCACTCATTTTAGCTATCTTCATATATGCATCTGACCTACATTATAATCTTAACTCAACAGTTCTTGTCCGACTTAAATTTCATTTAAACCCAGAAATTCATACGAATCTACGTTAAAATGTCTCTATTTCCAACAAGTTTTTTCCTGACTGACTTCATTCTACAAGTTGGTTCTTTTACAACCTACCATTTTAATCCATGAATGTATTTCTTTCCTATTTTATAGAATGAAACAAGTTGCTTCCTTGTTAATCTTTTAACTTAAATTCTTCATATTTACTGAACAAATCGCTAACTAAAGTGAGTTAATGGCTTAATGAACAATGTCTTATTAGTGACAGAGATACCAGCGGATCAACAATAGGATACAAATATATTCGATTAACGAATCCCAAATAGGACAACATGAGTTTTCTAGGATTATACTGTTAGGTAATTTCTAAAAGCAACATATACTTATATCTACCGACTACATATATATGTTATTGTAATAACTCTTTAATAAATCTACATCCAAAAGACTGATCAACATTCACATAAATCATGACAACTAATAATCATCATCCTTATACCTGAACTGATTACCTACATATGTATTGAGGAGTACGACAACTTGATTAGATTCAATCTACTACTACTATTATTATTATTACTACTACTACTGCTACTACCGTGAAGTGCTACATTAATTACTTACGATAAGACCAACAGAGAAAATAATTATACAATTTTAGTAAATATTTGCATTTATTATTAGTAGCTAAGATTATCTTCCTTTTTTTCAACAAAAAAAAAGAGAAAAACAAAACCACCTATTCTTGTTTCTTATTTTAGGCTTGAAAACAAATGGAGTAGAGATGTAAATCTTCAGAGAGAAACAAAGAAGAAAAAAATTGGAAGGTAAGATTAGGTTGGGTATATTTATTAATTCATATTCTTGGTAATAATAAATAAATGAACTTGGTTTGTTGTTGATGTCATGTATAGGACTAGTTAGACAAATAGGTGAAATATGGAAGAAAATTGTTTTAGTTGACTAGATAATTCAGCACAGAAATATCCTCATAATAATAATAATAGACATGACAAGAATATAATTAATTGGATAAGCACTTTTAGTAAATAGTTTTAGAAGCATTTACGGTGAACAATACCAGGACCAGATTCATCATATTCTTGTTTGGAAATCCACATCTGTTGGAACGTAGACAATGAGGCCAAAATAGAACCACCAATCCAAACGGAATATTTTCGCTCAGGTGGAGCAACTATCTTGATCTTCATTGTGCTCGGCGCCAATGCAGTGATCTCTTTCTGCATACGATCAGCAATACCTGGGAACATTGTCGTACCACCTGACAACACAGTGTTCGCGTACAGATCTTTACGGATGTCCACATCACACTTCATTATTGAGTTGAATGTGGTCTCATGAACACCAGCAGATTCCATACCCAAGAAACTTGGTTGGAACAACGCCTCAGGACAACGGAATCGTTCGTTACCGATCGTGATCACCTGACCATCAGGCAGTTCGTAACTCTTCTCCAGAGATGAGCTGGACGCGGCAGTGGCCATTTCCTGTTCAAAGTCAAGAGCCACATAACACAGTTTCTCCTTGATGTCACGCACGATTTCTCGCTCGGCTGTGGTCGTGAAGCTGTAACCACGTTCCGTCAAAATCTTCATCAAGTAGTCAGTCAAGTCACGACCAGCCAGATCCAGACGCAGGATAGCATGTGGTAGGGCATAACCTTCGTAGATCGGAACAGTGTGTGTCACACCATCACCAGAGTCCAACACAATACCAGTTGTACGACCCGATGCGTACAGTGACAGTACAGCTTGAATGCCCACGTACATGGCTGGTGTGTTGAATGTCTCAAACATGATTTGGGTCATCTTCTCACGATTGGCTTTCGGATTCAATGGAGCCTCGGTCAACAGGACCGGGTGTTCTTCTGGAGCCACACGCAATTCATTGTAGAATGTGTGATGCCAGATCTTCTCCATGTCATCCCAGTTCGTCACAATGCCGTGTTCGATTGGGTATTTCAGTGTGAGAATACCACGTTTCGATTGTGCTTCATCACCAACGTAGCTGTCTTTTTGACCCATACCGACCATCACACCCTGAGATATAAGGACAGATAAAGAAAGAGAGAGAGAAATAGAGAGAAATAAGCATTCAAATCAAGCTTCAAATGATATTTCATTGTCGAATACAGTCGGCATATACCAACAACAACAACAATAACAACAATGTATGATTAGAGTGATTGTGATAAGTGTTTCACAGTGAAGTAAGACGGATGGATATCTCGATATCTTATCACTGTGTTGTAGGTATCACAACTATTCTAACCGAGACATTGTTAAATACAATGCCATCAACTTAAAATGATAATATGACTGTAATGTGATAATAGATTAATACAATAAAATGAGAAATTGATTTGTTGAATGAATGTTATGACTATGCTTACTTGATGTCGAGGTCGTCCAACGATGGAGGGGAACACTGCTCTTGGTGCGTCATCACCAGCGAATCCAGCTTTGCACATCCCTGATCCATTGTCAACAACAAGGGCTTGAACTTCTTCGTCGGCCATGTTAACTTAGTTTGTTGAATTTGATAAAGGGCAATTAACTTGAGTGCGATAAACTTAGGAATTCAGTGGATTAACCCTAGATAATCTCTTATTTATATATGTCATCATGTTTGCACAATTGATGTCCATATATGGCTTTAATTTTTTAGTATATGGGAAGATAGTTTTTACTTCAAACAACCAATAGAATCGTAGATTAAAGAGATTATTATCTTCCTCTCTATCCTTCGTCATTAAGTGACTATATTTGTAGATGGCATTAAAAACACATTTATTGATTTATCCTAGTTGTGCACAATAAAGAGATGCAAACTTGAATGAAAGGTTATTATTTGTGTTAACCTCACTTCATTAATTCAATCAATAAAACATTCTTAAAATTAGAACTTTTCTGGACACAAACTGAATGATAGGCAATGAACCTTTTTATAAGGTACATATCAATTTCTTTCTAAAATATCGGCTTATGTTCTTTTTTGTTTGGATTCTTGTATTTGGCTCATTTAATTCCGTTATTCACTAAGTCGATAATTATATACGAAGATCGGTGGCATGTATATTTTAATAGAAATCAGTAAACGATCTAATTGGAGTCAGATAAAGGGCCATTACAATGCGTTGATAGAACAACAAGTCGACAATTTGAAGGTGATTTCAATTTAAGTATATTAAAATAGTTTTAAAACGAATGCTGGAAACCAGGAAACAGATTGCCTTACCATTTATGAGAAATATTTCATTAAAGGAATTTTGATGCCCTTTAGAATTAATGTTACTAATAAACCAACACAATCACTTCATTCTACTCAATACAGATCAAGAAATGCAAAAGCAGAATAAGACAAATTCAATGTCATCTACAAAATAAATCGTACCAAATGAAATAAATACTACTTTGGATAACGTGGATGGCCATTTCATCTAAGTATAAGTAGAAATGGTTTAACAGTGACACTAAATGACATGTTATCAATGTTACCAATATACGGAGATAACCGTGGACGTGAATTTGACTGGATTAATGCCTAAATTTCAGATCGGGAGAACTATAGAAAGAGTAGAGAATCTCTAGATGTGTGAGAATCAGATCAGTTAGCAATCAATAGGCAGATCAGCATAGACTCAGTCTATGGACTCACACGGAAGAGGTCAATTGGTCATAAGGCTGGAGTTTAGTGGGAAAAGACAGTCAAAAAGAATCCAAGAACAAATGAAAACAATAAAATATGCATAGACAGGTGGTGACCATCAAAAGCATTAAATAAACTGATATAGCATTCGTGAAATAACTGAAAACCTCATCTCTACATGAAGTAGGAGCTTAAGATGTTATTCATGAAAGTTTCTTAGTTAAACTATATAACTTAGGGAACACAATATTACTAAATATTTAAGAATCATTTTGTAATGACTTTATAGATTACCAGTTCGGTGTAGGGTTCTGGAGATTGCTGAATTTCATTGAAATCACGAACCGTGCAAGGTTAGACTTAGAAGCTCTAGACGACCGTCCATTCCCAGTATTGGACTAGTTAGCGGCGCAAATCGACAACTCTTCACGCGAGAAATAAACCCAGGATCTTTGGCATCGCGGCTCGGTGGTCAAGAGATAGAGCATTCCTGTACGATGATGATTTTCATCAATGAAGTGACGAATGAGGAACACAGGAAAAATGTTTCATTCAGGTTCTAGAACCACCTTAATCAATAAGCTTCAAACAATGAGCATTTATAATCTGACAAGGTGTCGAAGCAAGGAACTTCAGTTGCATTACAGTTATCAAGATACTTTCTAGTTAGGAAGTTAGGAAAGACCCACTGGGTTTTTTTAAAGTTTCAGTCATTTTATGACACAAAACTATCCAATATCTATTTTTAGTGAATATTAAGTCACATTGTACGAATAATCTTTAAAATCACCTTAGTAATTAATAGTTCTGTGTTCATTAGTAGCATTAGATGAAAGTGATTTCCTAGAGAAGCCGTAACTGATAGAATTACCTTAATAAAAATAAAATTAATTATAGGATTGTGACTCGATGGTTTTAATATTATTTTGTTAACTACGATGCTTAAAAGAGTAGCTTGGCTGGGAAAAATGGTGTGTACTGATGAAAATTCTCAAACTAGAAGGAAACAGTTATTCAATGCTCTTCCGAGAAAATAAAATGGACTATTGATTAGATGTTTGCTACGACTTCTTCGATTAGTTTTGCTAACAACTGGCAATAATAAACAGTAAAAAATCAAACAAACTTATCTACCTGATTTTCGCCCGAAACATGAAGACAGTCTGGAGCTTATAAAGGAATTACTATACCTAATGTGATCTCGTTATATCGACTTATGCAGAGAATCATTTCTTCGCACTTTAAAATATTAGATAAATTTCACACTACTCATGAGTAGTTTAAGAGCACTAATAAATATATTGATGAATGCTCGGAATTAGACTAATCTATGAAAAACTTTCGAAACTGATGTTCTCTCTTCGGACATACAGCGAGTGATACTTTGTTACAGTTCACATGTAGGAGTGTAGATACTCTGGAAAGTGAGTGCGTTATCCTTGATCTCACAACAGTGTCTATTACAGATGTCATTTCGAGATTCTAGTAAGAAGTTGTAACTGATAGAGACTAATCATGTTATAACTAAGACTATCGTCACCAATGGTATTGGATTATAGTGACGATATATCACGAATTAACTAAATTAGAAATATATGGGTAATTGTATAAGAACTTTCGTCTAAATTTGATCGACTTGTTTCACAGTTTTTGGGCAACTGTATTCTAGCTCATGAAATTCCTGGAGGAATTGAATATACTAGGTTCACTCCCTAGAGCTTTCGCACTGGTAATCGGTTGCATAGTGTGGTTAAACAGACGTGTGATGCTTCCTAGTTCTAAAACCTAATCAATTAGTTCAGCTTCAATTACACTCGTAATGTTGAAGGCTCTTGAAAATGTCTGAATTTCATTTACACTACTTATAAGTAACCATATTATCCAAGACGAAAATCTGTACTACATTATTTATGGACATCAACAGCAACTTGCTAATCGTTTTACTAAAATTTCTCCGTATTTTCAAACAGCACCAGTATAATTCCTGAACTTTACTTGCCAGCTTGGGTTTAAATTCTTTTAAGCAAAGTAAAAGATAGAGGATAGTGAAATACTGATGATTCTTGAGAATATTGTGGGATTACTCCATAGAAAAATCACTTCTCTTGGTATACTGAACACAGTCAGTCAGTCAGTCAATCAGTCAGTCAGTAACAACATACAGCTTCGTGCGTACGTACATCAGTTCGAGTTGCCACACCACATTAGCACAGAGATGCAGTTGTCGATTCAAATCCCATAGTGGTAGAGGTAATAAGAGTATAAGCAGTAATCGGGAAGATTAGGGTTTGGAGATGTTATTTAAAGAGTATAATCCAGTGAAATAAATTTGGAGAGAGGAAAAAAGGGACATGAAGAATTCAGAAGATTAGAATTTGGGAGAACACAGAGAGTGGATGCACCTGCGCCATTGCAAACGATTTTGAGCCATGTCATTCAGGGTCTCTAACCATCGGTTGCTATCATCTCGCGGTCCCCAACCAGGTAGTCTACACCTACCAACATGACTCAGTCCACTTGTCAGTGACTTCATGGACTTGTGTCATGTTTTGGTTTGGCCGCCCCTAGCTTCCTTCCAACCTACTCCTATACCACTGAACATAGCACGTCGAGGTAGTCGGTCGTTGGGCATACGTGACGTGTCCCAGCCATCTCAACTGATGAAGTTTCACTACTTCATCAATTGATTTGCCATCCTTACCTAGTACCCGTTTCCTAACAACTGTGTTACTTACTCGATGGTCCCATGATATACGAGCAATGTTTTAAAGACACCTATGACCGAATACTAGTAACCTACGAATATCCTCTACTCTTACCGGCCATGTTTCACTGCCATAAAGTAGGACGGAACGAACTGCTGCGCAGTAAACACGTCCTTTGGTTGATAGACGGATATCTCGCCTACGCCATAAATGACGCAAGTTGGCAAAAGCTAGTCGAGCCTTCTGTATCCGTGCTGAGATTTCGTCACACACCAGACCACAAGGGCTGATGAGACTTCCAAGATAAGTGAAGCGGTCGACACACTCAACTACTTCACTCCCTATCACTAGTTCGGGTGTCGATGTAACCCAATCCTGAAGCAACATTTTGCATTTCGAGGGAGAGAATCGCATCCCGATCATGCTTGCATTGTTGCTTAGAGTGGTCAGAAGACTCTGCATTTTGTCAGCGTCTTCACCAAATAAAACTATGTCATCTGCATATTCTAAGTCAACAAGTGAACCTCCCGGTAGAAGTTCAACCCCTGGAAATTTAGATGAGGAGAGTGTTATCTCTAAAAGTACGTCGACCACAAAGTTGAACAAGAATGGGGAGAGTGGACAGCCCTGACGAACACCACTTGAGGTAATCAATTCTGATGACAGTTCGCCATAAGCTCTCACTCTACCAGTTGTGTTCGAGTAGAGAGCCTTTATAAGGTTAATGTACTTCTTTGGTACTCCTTTCAGTGACAAACACTGCCATAGAACCTCACGATCAATAGGATCGAATGCCGCCTTAAGGTCGAGAAATACTACCATTGTGGGGCGTCTGAATGTGTGTCTGTGTTCTAGAACCTGACGTAGTGTGAATATCTGGTCTATACAACCACGTCCAGGTCGAAAACCGGCCTGGTTTTCTCTAATCTGCTCTTCACGAGCTTTGATTAGGCGTCGAAGTATTATTGAAGCTAATATTTTAGACACTATATTAGTCAAACTGATTCCTCTGTAATTGTCACAAGAGGACTTTTGTCCTTTCTTATAGGCTGGCACAATCAGTGATTGAGACCAGTCAGATGGGATTACGTCCAGTTCCCAAATTCTACCTAAGACCTCGGTTAATCTCATTGCTAATACTGGACCACCATCCTTAAAAATCTCA